ATGTGGCACATATACCTCATGGAATACTATGCAGCCAAAAAAGTATTACTTCGTGTCATTCCCAGGGACATGGATGAAGCTGAGAAACCATCATTCTCAGCAAACTCACACAGGAACAGAAAACCAAACACCATATGTTCTCATTCATAAGTGGGAGCTGAACAATAAGAACACATAGACACAGGGAGTTAACATCACACACTGGGGACTGTTGAGGGTGGGGGCTGAGGGAGAGATAGCATTAGGAGAAATACGTAATGTAGATGATGGGTTGATGGGTACAGCAAACCACCATAGCACGTGTATACCTATGTAACAAACCTGTACATTCTGCACATGTATCTTAGAACACAAAGTATATGGAAAGAAAACACAATTAGAAAACAACAACAACAAAAAAACAAGGTATTGGCAACACATAGCATGATGAATGGAATAGCGTCTCACATCTCAATATTAACGTTAATGTCAATGATGTAAATGCTCCACTTAAAAGACACACAACTGCAGAATGGATAAGAATTCATCAACCAACTGTTTGCTGCCTCCAAGTGACTAACCTAAACTGAAGCTAAAGGGGTAGAAAAAGACATTCCATGCAAATGGACACAAAAAGCAAGCAGGGGTAGCTATTCTTGTATCAGACAAAACAAACTTTAAAGCAACAGCAGTTAAACAAGACAAAGAGAGACATTATATAATGATAAAAGGCCTTGTCTAACAGGAAAACATCACAATCCTAAATATATATGCACCTAACACTGGGGTTCACAAATTTATGAGACACTTACTAACAGACCTAAGAAATGAGACAGACAGTAACACAATAATAGTAGCAGACATCAATACTCCACTGACAGCACTAGACAGGTCACCAAGACAGAAAGTCAACAAAGAAACAAGAGATTTAAACTATTCTCTGGAACAAATAGACCTAACAGTTATTAACAGAACATTCTACCCAACAACTGTAGAATATACATTCTATTCATCAGTGCATCAAACTTTCTCCAAGATAGACCATATGATAGGTCACAGAACAAGCCTCAGTAAATTTAAGAAAATTGAAATTATGTCAAGCACTCTCTAAGACCACAGTGAAATAAAACTGGCAACCAACATCAAAAGGAACCTTCAAAACCATACAAATAATGGGAATTAAATAAGCTGCTCCTGAATGATCACTGGGTCAAAATGAAATCAAGATGGAAATTTTAAAATTCTTAGAACTGAACAACAATAGTGACACAATCTATCAAAACATCTTGGATACAGCAAAGGTGGTGCTAAGAGGAAAACTCATAGCCCTAAATGCCTATATCAAAAAGTGTGAAAGAACACAGACAATCTCAGGTCACACCTCAAGGAACTAGAGAAACAAGAACAAACCAAACCCAAATCCAGCAGAAGAAAGGAAATAATTAAGATCAGAGCAGAACTAAATGAATTTGAAACAGAAAAAAAAAATAGAAAAGATAAATGAAACAAAAAGCCAGTTCTTTGAAAAGGTAAATAAAATTTGATACACCATTAGCAACATTAACCAAGGAAAGAAGAGAGAAAATCCAGATAAGCTTGATTAGAAATGAAATGCGAGATATTACAATGGATGTCACAGAAATGCAAAAGACCATTTAAGGCTACTACAAACACCGTTATGTGCATAAACGAGAAAAGCTAGGGGAGATGGTAAATTTCTGGAAAGATACAACCCTCCCAGCTTAGGAAGAATTAGAATACCTTGAATTCTAGAATACCTAGAATCAGGAAGAATTAGATACCTTGAACAGACCAATAACAATCGGCAAGATTTAAACAGTAACAAAAAATTACAAACAAAAGAAAGTCCAGGATGAGAGGGACTCACAGCTGAGTTCTATCAGACATTCAAAGAATAGGTACCAATCCTATTGATACCATTCCACAAGATAAAGAGGGAATCCTCCCTCTGTCATTCTATGAAGACAGTATAACCCCAATACCAAAACCAGGAAAGAAAATAACAACAACAACAAAAAAGCAAATTACAGACCAATATCCCTGATAAACATAGATGCAAAAATCCTTAACAAAATACTAGCTAACCAAATCCAACAACATATCAAAAAGATAATCCACCATGACAAGTGGGTTTCATACCAGGCATGCAGGGATGGTTTAACATATGCAAGTCAATAAAAGTGATACATCATATAAACAAAATTAAAAACAAAAATCACATGATCATCTCAATAGATGCAGAAAAAGCATTCGACAAAATCCAGCATCACTTTATAATTAAAACTCTCAGCAAAATTGGCATACAGGGGACATACTTCATTATAATAAAATCCATCTATGACAAACCTACAGCCAATATAATACTGAGTGGGGAAAAGTTGAAAGCATTCCCTCTGAGAACTGGACCAAGATAAGGATGGCCACTCTCACCACTGCTCTTCAACATAGTACTGGAAGTCTTAGCCAGAGCAATCAGACAAGAGAAAAAAATAAAGGGCATCCAAATCAGTAAAGAGGAAGTCAAACTGTCACTGTTTGCTGATAATATGATTGTTTACCTAGAAAACACTAAAGACTCCTCCATAAGGCTCCCAGAACTGATAAAAGAATTACCCTGAGGCCAGGTGTGATGGCTCATTTCTGTAATCCCAACACTTTGGTAGGCTGAGGCAGGAGGATCACTTGAGCCCAAGAGTCTGAGATCAGCCTTGGCAACATACTGAGAGTCTGTCTCTACAAAAATTGAAAAATATTAGCCAGGCATGGTGTCATACACCTGTAGTCTCAGCTACTTGAGAGGCTGAAGTGGGAAGATCAATTGAGCCTAGGAAGTCAAGACTGCAGTGAGCCAAGTATTGTACCATTTCAGCCTGGGCAACAGAGCAAGACCCTATCACAAACCAAAAAAGTACCTGAGGCTGGGTGATTTATAAAGAAAAGAAGTTTTGTTTGACTCATGATTAAGCAGGCTATACAAGCATGGCACCAGCATCTATTCGGCTTCTTCTGAGGAAGCTTTTACAGCAAAAGTGAAAGTACGGCAGGTGTGTCACATGGTGGTGACAGAGAGAACAAGAAAGGAGGTGCCAGGCTTCTTTAAATCACCAGCTCTTCCATGAACTAAGAGTGAGAACTCACTCATTACTGCAGGGAGGACACCAAGTCATTCATGAGGGATCCACCCCGATGATCCAAACAACTCCCACTACGCCCCACCTTAAACATATTTCAGCATATGATTTGGAGGGGACAAAACTCCAAACCATAGCACTAAATATAGAAAATACTGATGCAGGAGCTCGATCCAAAGATTTTTATTTAATTTGTCTGCCATAATATCTGGATATCAGGAAGTTTTTCTTTTTTACTGTGTGACTCTAGCCAAAGAAAGTGTTAAGCAGCCCCCCCAGGTGTTTCTAATGACTGGCCTACACCATTGCTATTCACGTGTCCTGTGAACCAGCAAGGTCAGCATTACCTAAGTGCTTGTTAGAAAATCACTCTCTCAGGTCCCAACCTGCTGAATCAGGCTCTGCAATTTAACAAGATGTCCAGGTGATTCATATGCACATTAAAATTTGAGAACTCCTAGAACAGACTTTCACTGAATCTCAATTTCACTTACAAGCTGCCCCAGTAGCCATCAATGAAGATATTCTCCTTGCTCATCATTGTCAACTTTCCCTAGGAGGCATCTTTGAAGAAGTAGATTAAGAGGATCCAAGGAAGAAATCCCAATTTTTCAGGAGAAAAACAAAAGGCCAATTATTTTTTTTTAAACTGAAGCTAAATCTATTTCTAATTTGCACTAGTTTCAAATTCTCCACTGTTAGAAAGTGAAATGAGTGGAAACTGACAATTTGACTAAATTTGTCGATTAAATGACTTCTCTACATAAACAATTTTGGAATTCCTTGCACATTAATTACACGTCATCAAGGTCACTCAAGGCAGCTCTTTCCCAATACCAACCATGTGGTCTTTACAGTGAAAGACTTCAAGAAAATTTAGTGAATTTAATTTTTAAGTGACCAATAGAATATAGTGTTCTGTTCCTCTATGTTAAAGCACTTCATTTAAGCTACAGAGAAAAGATGTGTTCATCAATATGTCTCAGTTTCAGAATTAGAGTCATAGGCAAAACTACCATTTATTTCACTGATTCCCACGGAGGGTGATTCCTTAATGGAATGCAATCTCTTTGCAATAGAAAGCCTCCTGCAATGTGTCTGTAATTCCTGCAATTCCACCAGCTCCTCTGCTTCCCTAATTCTAGCCAATATACTGGAATTAATAATACATATATATACAAGCTAATATGCTGAATTCTAGGTGAGCCCCCAGTGCGGGAAAGAGAATGCACTCCAGGGAAACTTGGGTAAGCCACTGAGAGCACATGGGGAGAAACACAGGGCTTTACAGTAATCCCTGGGAGAAAACATAGATTTAACACTGATTCGCATGTTAAACCTCTCAGCAAATTCTGACAAAAACCTCTAGGGTCTCCGGGAAGGAAGGGCGGGCGATAAACCACATATAATGCCCTCAGCTGCAGTTTTCCTCATCAGAGCCAGTGAAGAGGAGATGCTTGATGCTGAGGTTATGCTCAGCTCTGCTATGCCCACCACTCACTCCAAGCTGAGCCAGAAAAGCCATCATTGTGGGTAAGAAACCACTGCTATGATCTACTACAGAGTCCCTTTGACTTTATAAACCTGATTAGGCACTGTTTGTCTGCGAAGACTCAAAGGAGGCAGTATAATAGTTCAGTATAAAAGTTCCATATGTGAATCCAGGACATTCATTGGGTAAAAAGTCATGCCCCTCTCTGAGCCTCATTTATAAAATGAAGTTAGATTATTATACCATTTCTTCTAATTCTATGATTTTATGGTTATTAACAACCATCTTTCTGAAAACAATCTTACTTTCCAGCAGTTATCAGGTGGTATGTTCCTTCTCTCAGGATACCTAGGAAGACAATACACTAAGTGAGGGGCATTCGAAAGAAGGCTATCAAATCAAGCCATCACACTTGGGGTGGGTGGATTGGTGGGTTGATTAGTTGGTTGGTAACTTCTTGTACTGGAAAGGAATACAGTACATGAAAGAGCTGGTCTCAGCTGGGCGCGGTGGCTCACGCCTGTAATCCCAAGACTTTGGGAGGCTGAGGCGGGTGGATCACCAGGTCAGGAGATTGAGACCATCCTGGCTAACATGGTGAAACCCCGTCTCTACTAAAAATACAAAAAATTATCCAGGTGTGGTGGTGAGCGCCTGTAGTCCCAGCTACTCGGGAGGCTGAGGTAGGAGAATGGCGTGAACCCCGGGAGGCAGAGCTTGCAGGGAGCCGAGACCACGCCACTGCACTCCAGCCTGGGCGACAGAGCGAGACTCCATCAGAAAGAAAGAAAGAAAAAGGAAGGAAGGAAGGAAGGAAGGAAGGAAGGAAGGAAGGAAGGAAGGAAGGAAGGAAGGAAGGAAGGCTGGTCCCGCTGGGCTGTGGCTCACGCCTGTAATCCCAAGACTTTGGGAGGCTGAGGAGGCGGTGGATCACCAGGTCAGAGATTGAGACCATCCTGGGCTAACATGGTGAAACCCTGTCTCTACTAAAAATACAAAAATTATCCATGGGTGTGTGTGAGCCTGTAGTCCCAGCTACTCGGGAGGCTGAGGTGGCAGGAGAATGGCGTGAACCTGAGGCAGAGCTTGCAGGGAGCGCCAGACCACGCCACTGCACTCCAGCCTGGGCGACAGAGCCAGACTCCACCAGAAAGAAAGAAAGCAGCACAATAATAATAATAATAATATGAAGAAGGAAGAAGTGGAAGGGAAGGTTGAAGGGGTTAGCTGGGCAAGAAGAAGGAAGGAAGGAAGGAAGGAAGGAAGGAAGGAAGGAAGGAAGGAAGGAAGGAAGGAAGGGAGGGAGGGAGGGAGGGAGGGAGGGGGGGGGAGAGAGAGAGAGAGAGAGAGAGAAAAGAAAAGAAAAGAAAGAAAGAGCTAGTCTCCCAGGATTGTAGCTCAAACAATGATATATCTCAAAAAACAGGAGAAACAGTATGTTTGTGGCATAAAATAATGAATATTCCATTCTAATTACCTAACTATTCCAAGATAGCATTTTGGAGACTTTGGAGGGTGGTGGTATACAGAACTTTGTGGAATCAGTTTATTCCATCAATGCAAAAATTCTGAAATTGTTTACTTGGGTATTTCTATTAAGCTCTCCACCGTCTGATCACTCCATTACTTATCTATATTTCTCCAAGGCTTCAGGAAAAACAATGTTGCTGCTAATAAAGCACTTACAGAGAAGGGTAGTAGAAAAGATGAAATGTAGTGTGAAGCTGTCAGTGTATAATGGAGAATGTCCTAAACTGTTACTCTCATCAAGCAGGCATTCAGAACAAAGGGCAGAAGACTCAAATCTCACCATTCTGGTTCCCAATTTAAATCTGAGCCTGGACTTGTTCTCTGATCAGTGTATAGCAGAGAAAGGGATTTATTTATGCTTCATAAATAACAATCTGGAAATCACCTATTGAGCACCTTATTCAAGGAAGACTATAAACACATGTATTTTACATTCACTGTTGATTGCAAAGCTGGAAAACTTTAGAACTCAGATGCTCCAAATTTCCCTTTTTATGCATCCTTAAAGACTAGTAAAGAACTAGTGATGTTGAAGTTCAAATCTTTCTTCCCAAGACTACCTGATCCTTCCTTCAAATTCTGTGTTCTTTGTTGCCTTTCACATTTGTCTTTTTACATTTCTGACAAAGTTATAGCTGGTGACCCGCAATACACAAGACAAGAGATCTGAACTTAACAAGAAACTCAATATTGAAACTATATATATATATATATATATATATATATTTTTTTTTTTTTTTTTTTTTTTTTTTTTTTGAGGTGGTGTCTTGCTCTGTCACCCAGGCTGGAGTGCAGTGATGCAATCTCGGCTCACTGCAACCTCCACCTCGTGAGTTCAAGCAGTTTTTCCGCTTGGCCTCCCAAGTAGCTGGGATTACAGGCACATGCCACCACATCCAGCTAATTTTTGTATTTTAGTAGAGATGGGGTTTTGCCATGTTGGCCAAGCTGGTCTCAAACTCCTGACCTCGGCAATCTGCTCATCTTGGCCTCTCAAATTGCTGGAATTACAGGCATAAGACATTATGCCCAGCCATAACTACCATTTTGGCTTAATCAGCAAATTTTAAGTATTAATCAAGTATAAAATTACTGTTGTTTAAACACATTTGTATATTTTATTTAATTCTTAAATACATAAACTTGTTGCTACTGAAAAGTACATACGTAGTCAAATATTTGAAAGGGTCCTTACCTTCCTTTCAGTAACCAATATTCTAATAGATAAGATTGCAGATAAAACCCCCTTTGACCTCAGATTCTTTTAGAAAATCCCTTTGTTCTCACTACCGAAAAAGCTCACTACATAAACTAAATTTTTGTATTGAAAACATCATTTTCTTTATTTCATCTATATGGTATCTGATTACAAAAAGTAAGATAGTTCCTTTTTGTATGATATGTGTAAAAAACATAAAAATAAACACTGCAGATGTTTTTAAAATATTATCATGAAGTCGTATCTCCATGCAGCAGTCAATCTATTTTGTTTTGTTGTCAAAGATCTAACCCAACTTTACATCAGTTATCCTCAAAATGTCTTTTCTAACAAGTTGGGCTAAATAAGAGAAAATTGATGAGCTCATGCTAGAAAATCCATAATCAACATTGGAAAAACAAATCAAAAGCTGAAAAGGTCTTCTCAAGCATCCAAGGAAAAGAAAGAAAATACATTTGTCTGGTTCCGCCACTAGTGTCGAAATTCTAGCTGCATTGGATGGTATTGGATTCTAGCAAAATAACACTGAGACTCAGAACCACAATCAGTTCAAAATATGGTAGGACGTATTCCCACCTGATCTCAGAATGTCTTGGGTATTTTCCTGTATAGCTCAAGTTCTCGTCTCGATAAAGTCCTTGAGATACGTAGCAAGCAATTGGATTATACTCCAAGAGACTTGGATTACACTCATGTCTTTCTTCTTCGTAGATTTAAGACCCATGAACAGGTCAGCAACACACGTCGTGACAGAGTTTATTCTCCTGGGATTCCCTGGTTGCTGGAAGATTCAGATTTTCCTCTTCTCATTGTTTTTGGTGATTTATGTCTTGACCTTGCTGGGAAATGGAGCCATCATCTATGCAGTGAGATGCAACCCACGACTACACACCCCCATGTACTTTCTGCTGGGAAACTTTGCCTTCCTTGAGATCTGGTATGTGTCCTCCACTGTTCCTAACATGCTAGCCAACATTCTCTCCACGACCAAGGCCATCTCATTTTCTGGGTGCTTCCTCCAGTTCTATTTCTTCTTTTCACTGGGAACAACTGAATGTCTCTTTCTGGCAGTAATGGCTTATGATCGATACCTGGCCATCTGCCACCCACTGCAGTACCCCGTCATCATGACCAGAAGGTTCTGTGGTAAGCTGGTGTCTTTCTGTTGGCTCATTGGATTCCTTGGATACCCAATTCCCATTTTCTTCATCTCCCGACTCCCCTTCTGTGGTCCTAATATCATTGATCACTTCCTGTGTGACATGGACCCATTGATGGCTCTATCCTGTGCTCCAGCTCCCATAACTGAGTGTATTTTCTATACTCAGAGCTCCCTTGTTCTCTTTTTCACTAGTATATACATTCTTCGATCCTATATCCTGTTGCTAAGAGCTGTTTTTCAGGTCCCTTCTGCAGCTGGTCGGAGAAAAGCCTTCTCTACCTGTGGTTCTCATTTGGTTGTGGTATCTCTTTTCTATGGGACAGTCATGGTAATGTACGTAAGTCCTACATATGGCATCCCAACTTTATGGCAGAAGATCCTCACACTGGTATATTCAGTAATGACTCCTCTTTTTAATCCTCTGATCTATAGTCTTCATAATAAGGACATGAAACTCGCTCTGAGAAATGTCCTGTTTGGAATGAGAGTTCGTCAAAATTCATGAGCCAAAGATGTGCCATATTTATAAGTTCTAACGAAGAACAAGGTCGAGATGTTGTCAGTTCTTTAGCAGTCTTTTAGTCCTCAGACTGAGAAGTTAGAGGTTGTATATTTTACCTGGAAGTATGCCCAGCTGAAATACGTTTTCAACACTGACTCTTTAAACCTTAATTAACTGGTCATCGACATCCACTAAAAAGTTTCCAAGCCTGTCTTTATTAGAATGATAAAATGGAATTGCTATGTGAAATGCCCTCCTGCTGTCATGCCCCATGGTTCACCATTGTATAACTTCTTACTCATAGCAACAAGACAATAAACCCAACTTTGTTCAACTGCAGGTATGTTCCTAGGAGTCTTTGTCTGATGGGAATCAATAGTAGCACAATACCCAGCAAACAGTAAGGCCTCAAACATGTTTGTTAAATATCTCTATCTCAATTTTTTTACTTACAACAATAATATGTGATTGTTGTAACAAACTCAAGCAATTCAGAAGAATTTCCATCTTCACTCCCATATTCACCAACTTTCCTCTCTGCTCCTCAGAGTCAATACATCTAAATCCCTCTCTCTGGTCCTCAACACCCTTCGTAATACATCCCCACCAAATCTATGTCATTTGTTTTCCATTTCTTCCCAACATCAGCCCTCAGTTCTAGTCAGGCCAGTTACTTTATTTATTCCACTCTATCATCTTTTCACCTTTTCTTAGGCTCGCTCTTTCTTTCTTTCTTTCTTTTCTTTCTCTCTTTCTTCCTATCCTTTCTTTCTTTCTATCTTTTTTCTTTCTTTCTTTCTTTCTTTCTGTCTTTCTTTTTTTTTTTTTTTTTTTTTTTGAGACAAAGTCTCACTCTGTTGCCAGGCTGGAGTGCAGTGGTGTGATCTCAGCTCATTGCAACCTCCGCCTCCAGGGTTCAGGTGATTCTCCTGCCTCAGCCTCCCAAGTAGCTGGGACTACAGGGGCACGCCACCACTCCCAGGTAATTTTTGTATTTTTAGTAGAGATGAGGTTTCACCATGATGGCCAGGATAGTTTCCATCTCTTGACCTCATGATCCACCCACCTTAGCCTCCCAAAGTGCTGGGATTACAGGTGTGACCCACCACGCCTTGATAATTTTTGTATTTTTAGTAGAGACTGTTTCACCAAGCTGGCCAGGGTGGTCTTGAATTCCTGACCTCAGGTGATCCACCTGCTTTGGCCTCCCAAAATGCTGGGATTAGAGGTGTGAGCCACCAGGCCCAGCCTAGGCTTTTCTTTCAACCTCGAGAGCCTCACCTCATCTTCTGTCATGCAACTTGAGAAAGATATTTAACACTTAAATTCTTAAGTTCTTATTTTATAAAATGTGTATAATTCATGCCTTGTAACAATGTCATAAGAATTAAATCTGATCATTTCTGTAAGAGCCATAGCACAGAAAGAGACATATAGGAGATTCTGAGTACACATTGTTCTCTTCTCCTTCCTGTCTTTCAAACCTGACTATGGATACTTTTCTGACTATCTTTTAGATGTTTTGTAATCCTCATGGAAGCCTATATACTTAAAGATGGCTTATTTAAAAGCCAGTTGGGATGGATATATATTTTATATGAATTTATATGTAATTACATATCTCATACATATTTGTATATTTTATATACAAAGTTTATATAAATATGTAAAATATCCTCATATATGTATATATGTATATATAATATGTATGTGTATAGATATATGTATATATAGAGAGATAGATATAGATATACATTAGATATAGATTTGGCAACCATAAAGGGATTGATTAGACGGCCAACTTTGAGTCAGACTTGTTGTGTCCTGGCTTATCTGCTTACTAGTAGTGTGACCTTCACAAGCAAGTTGCTTAAATACTATGAACTTCATCTGTAAGATAGGGTAATAATAACACCTTAGAATTGTTGGTTTGTTATGACTTAATACTTACAAAGCACTTAGAACGATGCCTGGCAAACAGTAAAGTTCAATAGATATCAGCTTTAAAAAAATTATTCAACTGTAAAAGATCATGGTAGCTTTCAAAATTAGCTCATATAATTTTTCCATTTAACAGATACATTATGTTCCATTATATGAATGTTTCATCATTTATTCATTACTCTATGATAATATATTATAGCTTATATTTTATAATTAAAACAATGCTGTAATTAATATTCTTGAATATGGCCTCTTAGAGCCACATTGATATTCCATAAGTTAGAAGAAGAGTTTATGGAACACTGGAAATGTGCATTTTTAATTACACTAAATACTGGTAAATTGGATGCCCTAAATAGTGTGGGACAAATGGTGCTGGGGCAAGTAGATATCCATAGACAAAATAAAGAAGTTGGATACCTATCTTACACCATTTACAAAAATTAATTCAAAATGGATCAAAGACCTAAATGCAAAAACTAAAATTACAAAACCCTTCACAACCTAGGATTAGGCAGTGGTTTCTTAGGTATGACACATAAAGCACAAAAAACTAAGGAAAAAAATCAGTAAGTTGGACCTTATCAAAATAACAATTTTTGTGCTTCAAAGGATACTATCAAGAAAGTAAAACAGGCCGGGCGCGGTGGCTCAGGCCTGTAATCCCAGCACTTTGGGAGGCCGAGGCGGGCGGATCACGATGGTCAGAAGATCGAGACCATCCTGGCTAACATGATGAAACCCCGTCTCTACTAAAAATACAAAAAATTAGCCGGGCGAGGTGGCGGGCGCCTGTAGTCCTAGCTACTTGGGAGGCTGAGGCAGGAGAATGGCCTGAACCTGGGAGGTAGAGTTTGCAGTGAGCCGAGATCGCGCCACTGCACTCCAGCCTGGGCAACAGAGCAAGACTCGTCTCAAAAGAAAGTGAAATGACAACTGCTATGGCTTGAAGGTCCGTGTCCCCTCCCAAATTCATATGTTGAAATCCTAACCCCCAGAACAATAGTGCTGGGAGGTGGGGCCCTTGAATTTGATTAAGTCATGAGAGTGGACCCCTTCTGAATGGAATTAGTGCCCTTATAAAATAGGCCAAAGGAGTTCATTTGCCCCTTCAACCACGTAAAGACACAGCAAGAAGGCACAATTTATGAACTAAGAAATGGACCTTCATCAGACACCAAATCTGTTGGTGCATTGATCTTTGACTTCCCCATCTCCAGAACTGTCAAAAATAAATTTATGTTTTTTATAAATTACCTAGTTTATGGTATTTTCTTATAGCAAACTGAACAAACTAAGACAAGATTTTTAGCCCCTAACATTTAGAGACCAAAAGTACACTAGTAGTGGCCAAGGGCTAGAAGGAGAGGATGAGAAATAACAACTGCTAATGGGTACTCAGTTTCTTTGGGGGTGATAAAAATTTTCTGGAAACAGATAGTGTTGATAGTTGTACAACCTTGTGAATACACTAAAAATTACTGAAATACATGAGTAAATTTTTCATCAGGAAACTGCAGATCAAATTCATATTAAGATATCAACCTCACATATGTTAGCATGACTACTACCAAAAAGACCAAAGATAACCAATGTTGACAAGGATGGGAGTAAAGGGAATACTCCATACTGTCGGTGGGAATGTAAATTAGCACAGCCACTATAGAATACATGGAAGTACCTCAATATATTAAAAATAAAACTACCATATAATCCAGCAATTCCACTTCTTTGTATGTATCCAAAGGAATTGAAATCAGGATCTCAAAGAGATATCTGCACTTCCATGTTCATTTCAGCATTATTCACAATGGCCAAAACATGGAAGCAACCCAAATGTTCATCGATGAATGAACGGATTTTTTAAATGTGGTATAAACACACAATGGAATAGTATTCAGCATTATAAAGGAAAGAAATTCCAGCATTTGCAACAACAGGAATGAATCCGGAGGACATTATGCTAAGTGAAATAAGCCAGATACAGGACAAATACCACATAAATGATGAATGCAAAATAGTTAAATTCATAGAAGCAGAGAGTGGAATGGTGCTTGTCTGGATTAATGGGAGAGTAAAATAGGGAGGTATTAGTCAAAGGGTACAAAGTTTCTGTTATGTAAGGTAAGTCCTAGAGATCTACTATATAGCACAGTGCTTATAGTTAACGATATTGCTTTGTATACTTAAAATTTTGCTGAGAGGGTAGATCTTATGTTAAATGTTCTTATCACAAAATAATAATGATGATCAATAAGTGGATGGGAAGAAACTTTTGAAGTTGATGGATATGTTTACAGGCTAGAATATAGCAATGATTTCACAGATGTATACTTCTCTCCAAACTCAAGTTGTATATATTATATACCTACAAATGTTTGCATGTAACATCATATCTCAATAAAGTACTTTTTGTTCATCGAAGTTTGTTCTCCAAATAAATGAAAAAAAAACTCAGCTCCGCAAATTTTCTACTGTATGACAAAACCTGGTCTTAACTATCTACCTGTGCTCTACTCACCTCTAATGGCCATTATGCTTCCGTGGTATGCCTAAGAATACACAGGAAAAAACCTCAACCCACCCAAAAGTAATATGAAAAGGAGTATAAGCCAGGTATGGCAGCTCATGCCTGTAATTCCAGCACTTTGGGAAGCCGAGGCAGGAAGATTACTTGAACCCAGGAGTTGAGACCAGCCTAAGAAATATAGTGAGACCCCATCTCCGAAAAAAAAAAAAAAATGTAAAAATTAACTGGGCATGATACACACGCCTGTAGTCCCAGCTATTTAAGAGGCTGAAGTGGGAGGATCTCTTCAGCCCACAAGTTTGAGGCTTGCAGTAAGCTGTGATCGCACCACTGCACTTCAATCTGGGCAACAGAGCAAGACCCTGTCTCAAGAAAAAAAAAAAAGAGAGAAAGAAAAGAAAGAAAGGAAAGGGGTATATTGGTTAATAGAATTTTCTAGTTAATTGCTGGCCAGAAAAAAAAAAAAACAACAACTTTGATACTGAGTGTTAAAGCATTCCAGGCTGGGTGCAGTGGCTTTTCCCTGAAAAGGGAAAATCACTTGAGACCAGGAGTTGGAGACCAGCCTGGGCAACATAGCGAGGCCCCTGTCTTTAAAAAAAAAAATTAGCCAGGCATGGTGGCGTGTGCTATCGTTCCAGTAACTTGGGAGGCTGAGGTGGGAGGATCGCTTAACCCTGGGAGATTGAGGCTTCAGTGAGTTGTGTTTATACCATTGTACTCCAGCCAAGGAGACCTTGTCTCAAAAAAAAAAAAAATCTAAAGTCTATTTTCCCACCTTTATACCTTATTATGTTGAAAATAATTTAATCTTTTACCCCACAAGAACTCAGGAAGTGCAACATATCCGGACAAGCAGTGAACAGGCAATCAAATGATGGGGGTGTCCAATCCCAGCTCAACACCAACTAGCTATGTGTCCTTACACAGGACGCCTGACCTCTCTGGTCTCAGCTCCCTTATCTGTAAGATAAGAAAGTTGAACAAAGTGAATTTTCTACGATTGCCTACACCCATGTTTCCTCAAAAATGTAATATGTCTTATGGTACATACAGTGTAAGGGAGGGAAAACAGATAAGTGAAAAACCAATTTTAATTTAGTGTGGGAAATGCTATAACAGAGTAAATACAGAATGCTGTCAGAGCACATGAGAGGAGCACATAACCCAGTTAAGTTCTAAGGTTGTATGGGGAGGTGATGGGGAAATTGTTAAGGAGAAGTAACATCTAAGCTGCTGATACCTACTGGGTGA